GGGGGGGGGGGGGGGGGGGGGGGGAGCATGCCGGATGGCGGGCATTCGCGGGCGCCGAGATATCAGGGTGTGCTTCGGGGGCCGGGCGTTCAGCGCAGCCGGACGCCCGACCGTCCTCCACGGGTGTGGTGTTGGGCGCGGGGGCAGGGGGGTGGCATGCTCTCTGCCTCCGAGCGGGGACCCGCATCCTCACCGGGGTCGTGGTGACCATTTCTCTCTCTCTCTCTCTCTCTCTCTCTCTCTCTCTCTCTGTCTCTCGTGCCGCCCGGTCCGAGTGCCTACACTCTCCGGCCCCCTCGCCCTGCCACCGACGGGCGCAGGCGTCGCCACCATGGCCGGCCGAGGATGTGCACTCGGCCAGGTCCGGACGTCAGGCATCCACCCCGGGGCCGATCTCCCGGTCGCGACATCGACAGCCACAAGGTACCCCGACGGGCCCTGCTGCCTGGTGGCGCCGGGCCGCCCAAGCAACCGGGCTGATGGTCGGCACATTTGGCGAAGCCGTAAGGCTGGACCTCGGGCAGCCCCCGGCCTAGTGCGACACATCCCCTGCCGAGACACAGCACCCGACGGCCGCCGGCCGGCATCCTCCGGCAAGCCCGCCCGCGGGCAAGACCCTGCACCGGGAGCAGCCGGGGCGCCGGCTCACCTGTCTGCGTCCAGTCCGGCTCCGCTTGATGCCCTTGCCGGGCCACACAGCCGCGCGGGTCGGGCGCTCCTGCGGCATCGCCGTGGCGTTGTCAATGCCCGCGGACAGGGAATGCCCCCGCCCCGGGGGAACACCATGCTGGAAGGCGGCCACGATCTCCGGCGCGGCGCACCCTCATGACATTGGCCTCGGGCAGCGAGTGTCCCAGGGCCGACGCCCGGCCGGTGCTCAGGCCCCGCGATGGGCCCAGGTCGCTGGGGGCCGCTCGCCGGACTCCGGCAGGCCACCGACCGACGAGAGATTGCTCCACCTCCCCGGCCGCACTCCGGGCGGATGACGCCGGACAGCGGCTCGGATTGCCTCCACCGCACACCGGACCCGGGACAGTCCACGCGCATGGGTCTTTTCCAGCACCAATGCCAGCCATAAGGGCGGCGGAGCAGCGGCCACAAGCCCGCCGGCTCGGAGAACGGCCCTCCTTTTCCTCATTTGGAGCATGTCTCCCAGCCCCCACGGACCCCGGTGCAGGGCGCATGTCAGCCGACATGGCCACCGACCCCGGGAGGAAGAAAAAAAAACCCCAAACAATGGGGCAAGCCCCGCCAGCAAGAGCAAAGTGGCCGAAGCGTCGACCCATCCACAGGTCGTGGTGAGGCCCCTTTCAAGGGACTCACCTCCAGTAGCACGGATTGCAGGTGCCCCCAGGCCCCGGGCATGTTCACCGAGGCGGCGGCCGGACACCCGGCCGGAGGCGGCACTTTCGGCGAGCGGCCTGCCGCGGGCATGGCCCTTGGCGCGCCGAGCATCGCCGACAGGCCCCTCCTCCCCGGTCAAGCAGGGCCACTCGCACGGGGAAGACGCCTGCTCGCCGATCGCGGCCATCACCGATCTCCGGCCGACACATGGCGCATCCCGGGGAATGGCCACAAGCGGGATACAAATGGACACACCACATGCGGGAGCCATCGCCAGCCATCCGGTGCCCAAAGGCGCCGGTCGTGCGGGGCATGCCCGAGGGACTGCCCTCGACACCGGGCCACCTGTCCCGCTGGCCCACATCCGCCCATACCCCTGATCCACCGATCGACTTCGGCTCAGCTATGCTGCCGGGCTTTCGAAAGCCAAGCTGTGCACCCGGCCGACCGGGCTTCAAACCAGTGAAAGGGGCACATGCCGCGTCGCACACGCGATACACACACACATGCATGTATACACAGGCCCAAGGACCCCGGGCGCCGACTGCCAGCCCGGGGAGAAACCCAGCCACCTGACATACCACCCATGGGTCCGCAATACGAGCGGGTATGGAGAGGCTGCTCGGCTGCCGGCGGTCGCCGGTGCTGCTGACTACCCACAGCCCCACGGACCGCCAGCGGCCCAGCGGGCCGACCCGCAAAAGACAGAGCGCCTCGCCTCGCCACCCCAAAGGACCGCCGGCAGGGCAGGAGGGGGACATGGTCCGGACCCCCAGTTCCCGGCCAGGCAGGCCAACCCACGGGAACTGGTCTTGAGCACCGGCACCCGAGTCAGCCCGGAACGGAGGGAACTCCCGGCCGGCTGGGCTCCCCCTCGGAAAGGGCCCGCCGGTGGGGTCTCGGGGGAAAGCCGCCACGGGACGGGAGGGGGAACCATGCCGCAAGTGCGCTGCTGGCCGGATAGCTCGCCGGACCGGCCAGCCTTCCGGTGGGATATTCCCTTGCCGGCCGACGCCCTGGCCGATTCGCGGCCAGGACCCGCGTCGGGACCATCTCCAGCGGCGAGGGACGACTCACTACGCGAGGAAGACCGAAATGAAGAGGGAAAAAAAAAGGAAGCCCGCACATTCGCACAGGATCCACCGGAAGGACTCCCGCCCCCCTCCACCAACATCAGCAGGCGCGGCATCCCAGACAGCAGGGACAATGCGGACCGGCGGTCGCCCTGTCGGGCGGACAGGATCCAGGGCAATTGATTCCCAAGGCCCCGGTCCGGCTGGCAGCCGCGTGCAACCTGCGACGAAACAGCCCCCATGGCCACTGCCGGCCACAAAGCCGAACCACATGCCCTCCAAGCCGGGCACAGGCGCACGGGGCACCGTGCGAGGAGAATATGCCGGTTGCGTTGCCGGGCTGATACCCTGGTGTCGCGACGCCACCCGGCCACCGCTGAAGGCATGCCGCATGCGCGGGTAAGTGGAGGCTGGCGGACCGCCCAGGCCTGAATGCCGGGCATGGTGCCCTCCACCGCGACCCAATCAAGATGGCCATGCCTCGCCCGCCGATGAGGCTGCTTACCATGAGGCTGTCTCGGGCGTCGACTTTGGTGAAAAAAAAAAACCACCATCGCGGCAACCAGCATAATGCTCACTCAGGGTCCGGACTCCGCTGGACCCCTTCCGAGTGGCAGCTTCCTGCAGCTGGCGCATGGCCGTCTTTGGGCAGGGCCCACGAATGGATGGGCACCGGAGGGATGCGCGTCCCGAGGCTCGGCGCCGGCCTCGGGCCAAGGGGCGGCCAGGTGCTGAGGCGTCGGTGTCGGCGCCAGCCGGCTCTCGCCCATGACAACAAGTCGCAAGGCCGGGTGACATCCCGGGGATGGGCAAATACCGTGGGTCTGCCCGGGCAACGGCAAGCCGACCGGCTGGCCACCGCGCGGATGGCCCGCCACCCGCGGCCCCACCGAATCGGCCGGGAGCCCTGGTTGCACATACAACACCGTGTATCGCTGTGAAGTCGGCCCCGGGCCCGTGCATCGGCACAGCACATGGCGGCCATGTGCCATGGGGGCCGCAATGCCCGGCGAAAGAGGCCCTGAGCGAAGCCCCCAAATCGGCGGCTGGCCGGCCGGGCGAGGAGGGACCACTCGGTGGCCAAAGCCGCGCACGGCGGAAAGCCCGGATGGATGAATCGACCGAGCGCGGCAACACCGGCAGCAGGCCGGCCGGCCGGCCGGCCAGACAGTGCCGGGCGCCACAGATATGCAAGGGGAGTCCGGTGCAGGCCCACGGGGGGAGGGCCCCGCCGGAAGGTGCCCAAAGCGAGTGGCCACCGCGAGGGAGGGGAAGGAGCTTGGGCACCCTTCCAGCCATTGAGGTCGGCCCCAGTCGTGCCGTCCAGGTCAAGGGCCGCCAGTGGGCGTATCCGAGGACGTGGCTCGGCCCGGGGCACGCGGCCCCCGGAGGGGGCGCTCGTCGGCCGACAGGAGGCTATCGCTCACACGACCATGGTCGGCTTCGCGGCCGGGGGGGGGGGGACACGCCAAGCAGTGGAAGAACCGCCTGCCGCGTGTCCAAGCGAATTGCCAGACCCCAGAAAGAAGCGGCGCCTTCGTGCGGCGCCCGGCCCGAGGCAGGCCTGCCAGGCGAGTGAGGGTCCCTGGCGGGGGGACTGGCCAGCACCCCAGTCCGCTTGCTCGGATGCGGAGTCTCCACCAACGGCTGCAGGGATCCACCGACCGGGGCGAGGCCAGCCACAAGGGCGGCCTGTGGCTGTCCCGGACAACGCCAGGCACAGGCAGGGGGCGGATCTTGGTCGGCTGCATTATGCCCGGCAGCGGCGTCACCATGTCGACGACGGCCGCTATGATGTCGGAACTGAATCGCACACCGGCAGCACGGCTTGCCTGTCCCTCCCCCCCCCCCCCCCGACGGCTCGCACTGCTGCCCGCCATTGGGCATTCCCGGGGTCCGAGCAGAACCACCATGGTGATCAGGGACAGGAGCACACGCCCTCCTGCCTGGACCACATTGGCGACGCGACTGCCCGCCGGAGCGCCCAAACACAAGCATGTCACATCCTCATGCACAGCCAGTCCCGGAACCCGGTCCGCCAGGAGCCAGCCCGGCACACCATGCCCCGAGACCCGTCGGTGTGAAGGTGGCCACGTACCCGGGCCACGCGCGTGGTGCCCCCCCGCCGATGAGGCCCGAAAATGGGCTTGGCGTCGGCCGACGCAGCGATATCCAGCCAAGGCCTCGATCCCCCGCCGGGGGCGGAGTCCGCCTCGAGCCGCCGGTCAAGAGCTCCCCCAGTGCTCGCGGTGCCTGTGGGCGATGTCCCCCCAGCGATGGGGAAGTACCAAGGACATGAGGCCCCCCGGCACCGGGATTGCCGATGTAGGCGCATGAATTGCCGCGCGTGCGCCATGCTCCGCAGGGATGAGCCACCAGGGACATGCCAGCCGGGTGATCCCGGGTCGCGGCCTGAGGCCCCCCCTGTACCAGGGCCCCGCCCCGGCCTTTCGCCGGCACAGATACACGTCCCTGGCCGCTGGAGAAGGCAGACAGCATGGCAATCGAAGGCGGAGCCCTTGGAGCAATGCGCAGGACGGGATCCCGGGCCCGGAGCTGCACACCAGCCAAAGGGCCGGCTCCGACACAACCCCGAGGTAGGGGCCGGTAGTGCGCCGGCCGGCGCTGCCCGACCTGACATGGTGGCACCGCACACCGATCCTCGGCACCGCGGTGCTCGCCACCGGCGGTGGAAAAAAAGGCCGGAAGGCGCGAAACAGCCCGAGACAGGGGGACAGGCGAGGGATCGGGCGAGAAGGTGAGGCAAAGCCTCCGACATGTGTGCATCCTCCCCCTGGGGTCTCTTGGGGCCCCGGGACCGGAGCTCAAACTCCCAGGAACTGAGTGAGCGAGCGACGGGGGGGGGGGGGGGGGGGGGGGGAAGAGGGCAGAGCACGCCGGGGCCAACCGGACCCGGCGAAAAGCAGCATACCAAAAATCCGCACGCACCAGGACACAGGGGCGAGGATGCTCGATTTGCCCCCCTCGGCCCGGGACATTACATCTCGTAGCCATGCGGCGGGCACACCCCGCCCCGCGCTCGTCTTTCGCACCTGGAACATGTTCCCAAAAATGTTCGACCCCGCATTAGCCCTACTCGGGTAAAATTGACAACGCAGGACCTGACAAAATCCCCTTTTTGAAGGCTATTTCTAATGGCATAAGTATATTCATGCCGAAAATAGGCCCCCCTCGTCCCCCCCCCCAGCCGCCGGAAGAAGAAGCACCAGGGCCCTCCCCGTTGGTGGCGAACATCCAGCCCGATTGGCGGGTGTCTGACAGGATGCCCTCTTTCCGCCCCGCCCCGTCCCCCCTCCCCCATCCACCTGGCCTCCTCTGATCCCGGCGCATGCATAGCGAAGGCTCTGGAGCAGAAGCCACTTTGCCGCCGAGGTGGACTGTCACCGCCACCACCAGTTTCGGGGCTTTGCTTGCGAAAGGAGTCTATTCTCCGCGGCAGCCTGGCCACCCGGCAGCATGGGGTCACTCCGGCTTGGGACACAAGCCTGGGGCGTGGCATTTCCGCTGTCGTGACCTCCATGGCAGCATGGCTCCCCTGGGCCGTGGCAGGACATCGACACCGATACATCCACAGGGCAGCTGGTGATAGGTGACCTGCCCCTCCCCGGAGGGGGGGCCGGTGCTGCATGCGGTCCACCCCCGCACCGGCCTGCTCCGCCGCCTGGCAGCGCCGCACACGCTGGCATCAGCCTTGGGACAGACCATCGGCCGCCACAAAGAAAGCCGAGCATTGCTGGCGGAAGATCGCCGCCGCAGGACGACGCTCGGGATCGGGCTGCCAGGCAGCATGCACCAAGTCCATCAAGCCAGCTGGAGGATCTCCGCCAACTGGCGGACGATCGCCCACCTGCACCGCATCCGAGATCTGCTGCAGGCTCAGCCCATCCCAGGGGATGGTCCGCGACAGACACTCATTCAGCAAAATGGCCGCAGCATAGATGTCTGCCGGGAAGAGGAGGTGCTGCTCGAGCGCAGTGCCTCGACGGACGGCCGCCAGCAGCTCCGGCGCCGCGTACCGGGCGCTCAGGGCATTCAGCTTGGGCATGGTCAGGATGAGGGCCGACGACCGGTCGGCACTCAGATTTTTGCTGGTCCCCAAATCCCCGAGGGCCACGCGCCAGCCCCCGTCCGGGCGCTGGCTGGCAAAGACATTGCCCGGCTTCAGGTCGCAATGGGCCACCCCATTGGCATGCATGGCCTCCAGCCCGGAGGCCCACTGCTGGCAGATGTCCAGCAGCTGAACGGCCGACAGCTCCACCGCCGAATGCAGCAGCGTGGCCAGGTCCGTGTCATAGCGCTCCATCACAATGGCCGGCGGCGACTGGCTGTACCCGAAGAGGCGCACGATGTTCCCATGCTCCCGGAGCAGCCACATCAGGGCCACCTCATTCTGGAACATGGCCACATGCAGGGGCTTCGTGTCTTGAGACTTCATCTTCTTGATGGCCACAATATCCGGGCAGCCCAGCCGGGCCACCATGTCGGAGCCGACTGTCTGCGCAACATACACACTCGCTTGGGTCCCTGCACCGAGGGTCTTGTCCATCGGCCGGAAATCAAGATCCACATTCACCAAGATGGCCCCGGGCAGGGCCAGCTCCACGATGGTGTTCAGCATGGTGGCATCCTCATCATGAGGGGTCTTGCCGAGGGCACCGCCCCTCTGGCGGCGCCGGCGGATGAGGAACAGCACCACCAGGATCAGCAAGATCAGCAGCAGCAGCAGCCCCACCGACAGACCCACGGCCAGGCCCAGGACAAACTTGCTGTTCCTGCGGGGATACGTGCACTCATCTTCCCCCGGCCCCAGACAGGAGTCGGTGCAGCTCGCGTGGCAGGGAGCACAGACGGCCGGCTGGCCGTCAAGATCGGCGAAGTAGCCGGCCGGGCACACCTCCACACAGGCGGCCCCCCCGAGCAGGAGGTGCCCGGAGACGCATGCACTGCAGGTGGCAATTTCCGGGCATTCGAGCGCCCCATCGGCCCGGATCGCACACTGGGGCTGGTCGGCGGCCGGCTCGCACTGCTCGCACTTGTCAAGGCAGTGGAGGCATACCCCGCCCACCGGCGCCGAGGCACTCGGGCAGGCCGACACACAGACCCCCTCGTCCAGATGGAGGAGCCCCCCATCGCAGCCGGTGCAGAAGCTTGCCGACCCGAAGCAGCTCCGGCAGGCGCTGTCACAGGCCTGACAAATGCCCGACCCCGGGGCCGCAAACTCCCCGGCCGGGCAGGACCCATGGCAGGCGCCGGAGGACAGGAAGAAGGTGGCCTTGCACTTGGTGCAGACCATGTCGCACGACGGACCGGAGGGCTCGCACTGCGCACATTGCGCCGGACAAGCCGTGCACTTGTTCGTGGCCGGGCAGGCACCCCACCCTTCCGGGCAGCCAGCGGCACACAGCCCATCCGGTTGGAGCATATCCTGGCCCTTGCACGAGGTGCAGACGTCCCGGCTGCTGCACGTGGCGCAGGATCCATGGCACAGGGCGCAATGGTCGGCCTCGGCGAAGTACCCATCCGGGCAATCCAGCAGGCACTCGCCCCCAAGCAGGGCCCGGTCGCCCGAGCACGCGGTGCACGCGGAGAGGCCGGGCCCCGAGCAGGAGGCACATGTCGGGCTGCAGGCATAGCAGGTGCCCCCACTCTGGTAGGTGTCCAGGGGGCACGCCGTCACACAGCGGCCATCAACCAGAACCGGGGCGCTCGAGCCGCAGGAGAGGCAGTTGTTGTCCCCCGGGCCGTAGCATGTGGCACACGTCCCGTGGCAGGTGG